GGATTCAAGCCTTCTTCCCCAATCATCATCCTTGGCTCCTTGGTGGCTTTAGGGAGCTCTTCATTAGCACTAGATCAAAGTTCTCTGATTGCTTCAGGAAGACACAAAAGGAGTTGGGGTTCTGTGCCTACTTTAGGAGAAAGCAAAAGGAGTCTAGGTTCTCTGCCTCACTAGGATAGATAAAAAGATTTTGTAAGGGTTTCTCGGCCTTATTGTAGGAGCAAAAGGAGAGACATTATAGTTTTAGTACAATACCTGAAGGGGAGGCTCAAGGGAGTGGATGTAGGTCAAGTTGACTGTACCACTATAAAAATTTGGTGTGTTCTTTTTATGTTTTATCGTGCACTTAATTTCTACATTATTTACTCTTGATTATGTGTGTGATTGAAATATCATAATTCTATTTCTGTTAAATTATTTTGCTTCTACCTTGAGATAAGAGTAGTTTATTTTAAAATATAAAAAATCTCAAAAAGACTTTCCTTGTTGTTTATGTTAATTTTTTTAAAACACAAATGCACCCCCTCCCTCTTTGTTAGTCTCAGGCTAGTTCATAAGGACTTAATAACACTAATAAACTTTCAAAAGATGCAAGAAGAAAGATAACAATGGGGCTCATTTTTTAAGATTGGTCAAATAATTGAAAAAAGCATGTAATGAAGAAAAAGAGACATTACAATCAAAGTTCAAAAAAAAAAAAATAAAGATAGTGCTAGAAGACATCATAAAAAAGTTATATTGATCAAGTACGAATCTCGAGATAATTTTGAATTGGAAACTTTCGAAATTAAATCTAGAACTATTCAAACTCAAAACTTTGCAAACTGGTAGTCAAACTGAATGTCTCGAAAAGATGAACCTGACGATAACGAATTCAACCCAATATGAGTCCAAACGGGTCCAAATCGAGGACCTGAAGCACATTTAGAATGTTCAAATAAAAAATTGGTTGAAAAATAATTTCTAAAAGTCGCATGCTTGTAGTTTATTGAAGCAACATGAGAAGACTTGGGGATGAGGGCTATACCAGTAGCTTTGACTCTTCTAGGCATATATCCTTTTTCAAAAAAGGATGAGACTGCTTTGCATAAAGAAGGACCCAGAATATTCCAGCCAGTCTTATAAAAATAAAATTAAACTCATCCGGCCTAGGGGAGGATGTAGAGGCCCTCGAAAAGACTTCCTTTTTAATTTCAGTCACAGAAATTGGGTTAGTTAGCATTGAGGATAAGTTGTTAGAGATAGTAGCTCCAACAGGAAAATCCAACATATTAGGTAGAGGAGAATTGGAAGGGTTATAAATCTTTTAAAAGTGCTGGATTATGACACTACTAGGATTATAATGGCAATATGTTTTCCATTCAATAGCAGCTATATTCAAAGAGCCATTAAAATTCTTCCTTGTCTGAATTTTTGCATACAAGAATTTAAGATCATCTTCCCCAGGATTTAACCATTTGGACTTGGCCCTTTGCATGATTCAAGAGAAAAGAGAGAAAGTGTGTTCAACAATCTCACCATTGAGGCTTTTAAGGTTAGAGTTAAGTTGAGGATTGGTAGGATCAGATTCAAACATCCCAATGCATAAATTTTGTTTCTCCTGAAGAGCTTGTAAGGTAGTTTCTAAAGCAGTGAAAGAAGACCATTTCTTGCATTTAATAAGATTTTTCACCTTGGCTTGCTTCTGACAAAAATAAATAAAGGGATTACCCATATAAGGGTCCATAAAAGCATTGAGAAGAATGTCTCAGTAACCATCACGATGGGTCCAAAAGTTTTTGAATTTAAAACATTTGATTTTAGCTTGAGGGATGCCATCCATAATAATGAGGGGAGAACGATCTGAACAAATGGGATCTCCAACCAAATAGAGAGAACTGGGATGCTTTGAAAGCTAATCATCATTGACTAAAACTCTATCCAACTTGATGTGTATAAGGTTTTTCGTTTGTTGGTTAAACCAAGTATAGAAATGACCAGTTGAAGCAAGATCCTTAAGCTGAGTGTCAAAAATAAGGGAGTTAAGTTCACCCATTCTATTATAATGTAATAAGGAGCCGCCAGATTTTTCATTGTGAAATCTACTACAGTTGAAGTCACCCAATACGATCCAAGGTTGAGGAGAAAGAGGTGCAACTTGCCTAATCTACTTACTAACAGATAGAAGAGCGCTCCTTAGTAGAGTTGGATGCATAGATAACCGATAAGAAGAAGGTGGTCGAAGACCTAAAATTGACCAAACCGCAGATCATTTGAGATGAACTTAAAGTGGGGTTGAATTGCATATTCTTGGACGACCATTTAATTCAAATTATACCTTAAGTAGAGAGTTGAAAGTTATTATAGCTATCTTCAGCTTCAAAAATAGAATGAGAAGATAAAAACCATGGATCAACCAAAGCTTCCACATGGATCCTATTTTCTAAAAGGCAAATCATATCCTGATTGTGTTTTTTGACAATTTGGTTGAAAGTAAAAACTTTCCTAGGGTTATTGAAACCTCTAATATTCCAAGATGCAATGTTTGGCAAGATCATTGAGATTTGGTAGTAGGTGGTGGGATTTTTCTCGGGTGCTTTGTATTGGAGCTTTTCTGTTAGGATGAAGTGCTTGGAATTTTGTTGGTCTTATCTAGAATGCCTTTATGCAATGAGGAGATATCACTGTTATATCCCATAACTATATTTTCAGTTTGCGCATCTGCTAGAGCATCAAAGTTATTTGGGGAGATTATGTGATCGGGTGCAACATCTGAAGGAGGAGGCATGATGGATGACACTATGTTTTCTTATGTAGGAAAGTTAAGGTTGGGAATCGTTACTGCCAGATAAGGATGTTGGGGGATAACAATAGAGGGCTGGGAATTGGTAGTGCTAATGGGTCGGGTATCAAGATTGTCTAACCCTTTTTCAAGTTGAGAAAGTGGAGGATGAGAAGGCCGTGATGGAGTTTGCTTAGAATGAGACAGAGAAGTCAGGATCTGAGGAGGCTGTAACTATGGAGATTTCGTAGGATGAGGGTGTTGTCATTATGTACTGGACAAATACGGTTGTGACTTAGGTGGCTGAGATTGAAGATATTACAGTGATGTAGTTTGCTGAGAATGAGACAGAGAAGTCAGGATCTGAGGAGGCTGTAACTATGGAGATTTCGGAGGATGAGGGTGTTGTCATTATGTACTGGACAAATACGGTTGTGACTTAGGTGGCTGAGATTGAAAATGTTTCGGTGATTGAGGTGGCTGAGGTGTCAGAGGTGGCTGTAGATTTTGCATTCTCGGCTGCGGGGCATGACTTTTACTGATAGCTCGAGACTGAGATACTATAGCATCCCTGGAAGGTCTTTTACCTCTGTTTTGGGTTTGAACATGACGATCAGCGGTATGTTCTAAGGCTGAGTGAGAAGGACATTTTTTGGATAAATGCATTAAGGACCCGCAAAAATCAAGTGGCATTGGCCGCCATTCATATTGGATTTTCAGCCTCATGATTTCATCTTGGATTGAGATAGGGATATAGTCGGGATAGACATTTTTATTGTTAACTTGCACACAAACTCTAGCATATTTGAGACGACTTTTTTGGGCAGTAAGCACATCAACGGCAAGCGCAATGCCAACCTTGCTCGCAATCAGCGAAATACCTTCCGATGTCCAGTAGCACAGGGGAAGGTCCATGATCTTAAACCAGATAAGGACAGAGGAGAAGTTTTCTTTTTGAGGACTAAATTTAGGGGACCATTTTTGCAAGATGAATGACTTACCCAGAAAAAATCAAACCCCAACCGTCCAAGCCATTTTGTAGTCCACAGGTGAGGTGAACTTAATGAGAAAGAAACCATCACTCATGTTAAAAAATTGGATATTTCCTTGCAATTTCTATATCTTAGATTGAGATAGGGATATAGTCGGGATAGACATTTTTATTGTTAACTCGCACACAAACCCTAGCATATTTGAGACGACTTTTTTGGGCAGAAGCACATCAACGGCAAGCGCAATGCCAACCTAGCTCGTAATCAGCGAAATACCTTCCGATGTCCAGTAGCACAGGGGAAGGTCCATGATCTTAAACCAGATAAGGACAGAGGAGAAGTTTTCTTTTTGAGGACTAAATTTAGGGGACCATTTTTGCAAGATGAATGACTTACCCAGAAAAAATCAAACCCCAACCGTCCAAGCCATTTTGTAGTCCACAGGTGAGGTGAACTTAATGAGAAAGAAACCATCACTCATGTTAAAAAATTGGATATTTCCTTGCAATTTCTATGTTTTCCTAATGGCAGTAAGAAGCCTCTCGTAGTAAGGCTTCCTTCCTACCGAATAACCAACCAGCGATAACGTCCATTTGTCAGGAGTAGTATGAGTTTTTGCTTTGGGAAAAACTATGACCACATTTTGATGTGTAGGAAGGAGATAGGTAGATCCTTAGAAGAAAAGCATGAAGGATTGGCGAAATGTGACCAATCCAGTGGTGGGTTAGAGGATGAAGCGGTTAGCAGAGAAAAGTGGTAATGGAGGAAAGTCTTGGATGTTGAGAGGAGTGCCCATAGAGGGGGAGAGCCCCTAAGGGCAAGGAGGAGGAGGAAGCAAGGCGGAATTGGAGGAAAAGAGGGCAGCTAGGGCGAAAGCCAAACATAGCAAAGCTCCATCAGCTAGACCTTGTGGTAACCCCTCTATCTTCTCTACTCTCAAAAATAAAGCTAGTAGGATCAGATTCTAACATCCCAATGCATAAATTTTGTTTCTCCTAAAGAGCTTGTAAGGTAGTTTCTAAAGAAGTGAAAAAAAACAATTCCTTGCATTTAATAAGATTTTTCATCTTGGCAAGCTTGTGACAAAAATCAGTAAGGGGCTTACCCATGCAAGGGTCCAAAAAAATATTGAGAAGAATGTCTTAGTAACCATCACGATGGGTCCAAAAGTTTTCGAATTGAAAACGCCTGAGTTTTTGTATAAGATGTCTTTTTAATTGGCTTAAAAAAACTTTTAAGCCAAAAACTCCATCTGCCGTGTCGCTGTAGCTGTCACTCCAATTTACATCCCGCCGTCACGCCTGCGGAGCTCCGCCGCTTCGATTACTGGCGGGGCTTTCTATGAAGAAAACGGCAAAAGTATCTCCTTTCCGGCTCACCTCTCTACTCCGCCTCGAGAAAAACCCTACCCTGTCTCTTCAGCTCTTCCGTCACCCAAACCCTGAATCGAATCCCCTGCCTTCGCCCAAGCCCTTCCGGTACAGCGCTCAATCCTATGATATCATCATCTGCAGGCTTGCCCAATCGCGGATGTTCACCGAGATGGAGCAAATTCTCGATCAAATGGCGAACCAGACCCGCTTCACTCCAAAAGAAGCCATCTTTTGCAGGATCATCTCTTCCTACGGCCGCGCCCACATGCCGGACGCTGCCCTCCGTACTTTCCACCGAATCCCCTCCTTGCTCGGCCACCGGACGATCCGCTCCTTCAACACCCTTCTCGACGTGCTACTCCGCCATGGCGAGATCAGTAAGCTCCAACAACTTTGTCATGACCTCAAAGCTGCAGAATTTTCTCCAGACGCTTGTACCTACAACATTCTCATCCGCGATCGCGCTGCCTCCGGTTCAATCCACGGCGCGTGCGAACTATTCGACGAATTGAGGGAGAACGGCATTAGACCAACCGTCGCTACTTTCGGGACGTTAATATCTGCTCTTACCTCGGCTTCGCTGCTAGCCGAGGCCTTCCGTCTCAAAGAAGTGATGTTTCAGCGATACAACATAAAGCCGAATGCACACATATACACATCGCTGGTGAAGGCGCTCTGCAAGGACAATCAACTTGACCGCGCTATTAGATTGAAAGATGAGATGGCCTCAGACCCGGAGATAGGGCTTGATGGCGCAATTTATACGACTTTGATACGCGCACTCTTCAGAGCTGGGAGGAAAGGTGAGGTGGTAAGTGTTTTGGAAGAGATGAAGCAGAAGGGGGTGAAGGCCGATACGGCGACTTACAATGCTGTAGTCGCGGGGTTCTGTGAGGAAGAAGACTTTATCGCATCTTTCGAAGCATTAAGGGAGATGAAGCGCAGGGGCTGCCAGCCGAATTTGGTTAGCTATAACACCATTGTGGTGGGGATGTGCAGGGCGGGGCGGTGGAGGGATGCGCGCGACTTGTTCGACGATATGCCGAGGCGGGGATGCCGGCCCGACGTGGTGACCTACCGGGCACTTGTCGATGGATTTTGTGCGGCGGGGCAGAGCCGAGAGGTAGAGCTGCTGGTGGAGGAGATGGCGTTTAACGGTTACTATCCAGCCGCGATGAGTTTTAGGAAGCTGGTGGAAGGTATTTTGGAGAAGGGATGTTTCAGGGTGCGGGAGTTGGTTGATTTGCTGATTTGCGACGATTAGGAGTGATTAATTGATTGATTTTGAAATAAAAGTATTTTTTTTTCATAATCAGTTTGTAAGTAGATTTTCTATGTAAAAATAGAGACGAAGTTCTTGGTTTGGTATGGTTATTACTGACGTAGTGAAGTGAGAAGGGAATGAAGCGTAAAACAACAGTAATATCATCAAGCATTTATCCCAAAACTTGAGACTGGCTATATGAATTCATTTTCTCAATTATGTTCAATTAGAAATTAAAATTTTATTTAAATCTAAAAAAAGAAGTCATTTATAATACCTTATAACAAAGTCTTTTTTAGGACTATTTCTACTTTTCTTAACAAAACCATGGTCTAATTCATCTATTATCCTAACCGGGTTATCGGAAAGCCAACATTTTATGTGATCAAACTGGCAACTCTCTCTAATCTTATCTATCATTGGAGTTACTCAACCTTTTAACATATATAGTTGTTATGTATTCTATTTGTCATGTAAAACCTCTTATCCACACGAGCATCCTCAAAGCTGCAACACTTAGTTTTATGATTTTGTTTTAATAGTAAACAGTATGTGCAAAGCATTGCAAGTCTCAACGCCATAACACCATCTTATAGAGTAATGCCCCATGTTCGAAGGGATTTTTTAATGGTAAACATTATGTGTGCTATATATCCTTGATAACTTCAATAAAAATCTTATTAACTCTTTAATTTTCTAGAACTTTAGCACACTTCTCCAAAAACTTTATTATATGTTTTCTCTAAATCAATAATTGTCATATGTTGATCCTCCTTACTCTTTCTATACTTTTGCGTCAAATCTCTCAAATAATGTATAGCTTCCATGTAGTACACATACCCAGCATGAATCAAAATTAAATTTGAGAAACATTAGTATCACGTTGTAAGCTATGTTCAATTACTCTCTCTCATAGATTTAATGTATGACACATTGACATAATTGCTCTATAATTCACACACTCTTGTGCATCACCTTTATTTTTAAAACTAAGAACCAATGGTCTCCTTTTTCACTCATAAGACATCATTTTTCTCTTCAAAATAACATTAAAAAGTTTAGTAAGCTTTGAAATTCTTTCATATGTTGAGAATTTTCACACGTCTATTGAATATCATCAGGTTCAACTATTTTTTTCACACTTCATTTCTTTAAAGCTTTTTATCTTTAGGTTTACTAATAGGGCAACAACAACAATATCATGTCTTTATCCAACTACGTAAGGTCGGCTACATAAAACCAATTTCTTCATTGATTTGTATGGATAGTTAAAATCTCAATTTAATCGAATAAGAAAATATCATTTCTTATACTTTCTAATCAAGTCTTTTTAGGTCTAATTTCACCTTTCATAATATAGGCTATATCCAATATATCCCCTAACTAGGTCTTCGGAAGGCCAACAATTTATATGATCAAACAATCTATGTTGACACTCTTTTATCTTATTTAGCACTAGAGCTACTCCAACCATTTCACATATATACTTTTTTCGCATTCTATCCCTAAGAGTAAAACCACTGATTCACCTAAGCATACTCATCTCTACAACCCTTAACTTAATTTTCTACTTCACTTTCTATTTAGGATTGTGAGAACCTTAAAGTTAATCGTATTTTTACAATTTTCATTGAAAATTTTATCGAAATATCTTATCTACCTATCAAAGTATGAAATGAAAATAAAATGTGATCATTTTAATTATGTGATTATACTCTCTCTTATGTTTCCTTTAAATGAGCTTTAAGAATTTTGTAAAGTGGTGTAACTTTACTTATTTGATAGATCACAAAAGAATATATAAATCTCAAAATATAGATGGAGAACATTTAATACAATCATTCAATTTCTCTTCATTAATTTTTTCCCTTCTAAGTATAATGATGTCACGACCCAACTCGACCGGAACGAATCCCATCGCTTCGAGTCGTGACAGATGAATCTAGGATCTAGCTTTGAAATTTAGTTTCAGACTTTCTTCCAATAATCGGACATACAAAAAACACAGTGCAACTATAAACATCCAAATATACGGACAAAATCATCCAATATTTTCTTCTTTCTCATTCCTCAAAATAATCATGTACATTACAGTGCATGGCTATAAACAGAAAGAACATAACAGAAGAATAGAATAGTCATGACCGTACAAAAATCAAAAGTACAAAAATACCTAATCTCAGATCAGACACAGAACGGCTAGTCCAACACCTCATTCCCTTTCCCAGAACCTAAAAACCACGTAGATAACAAGTATGAGCAACAGCTCACCAATACTACACTAGCCAATCAAAATCTCCAAAAACTCACAACAAAATCATCAGAATAGTTTATTCAAGTAACCGTACAAAATTCAGATAATCGTACAGAAACTCATAAAATCAGACAGAACACAGATATGCGTACAAAATAGATAATCAAATAGAAATCAAATAACTGATACAGAAGAAATGAATTCATTTCATATGTCAGAATTAGTCAAATCAGATTTCAAATGAGAGTTCATATCGTATTTCAAATCACATATCACAGAAACGTACAAATCACAAAGCACATTGTCAAAGCAGATAAGATCACATATAACAAATCACTGACCCATACAGAATCTCAATGGATTCTGGCCCCTTATGCCTCCCCTTCCCTGACACAGACAAAATCTCAAAGGATTCTTGCCCCTTATGCCTCCCTAGCTTGTGCTTACACCACCAGAGTATATATCAGATATACATAATTATCAGATTAGAATTTATTTTCAGATTCCCGGACCCTGACAGAATCTCAAAGGATTCTAGCCCCTTATGCCTCCCTTTCCTGACACATACAGAATCTCAAAGGATTCCAGCCTCTTATAACTCCCTTCTGATATCATTCAAACACATCAAATCATCAAATTCAGAAAAATTGGATTACATTAGAAAAATCGTCAGCGACATAACGCTAGTCCATATAAATCTCAACAGATCAAATCAAAGTTTCAGAAAATTACCAAATTATCACAGATAGTGTAAAACATCATTTTAAGACTTTCATTGTACTGAAGCAATATTTTCCAACATCTAGATAATTTATCTATTCGATAAAAACTCCGCAGAATTCTAACTTCCCGGTGAAAATCTTCCAGAAAATACTCAAAACATGCAAAATCATCATTTCTAAAACATACCAAAAGTTACGCGGTAAAAGTTTTACCGGTACAAAATTATACTAGGATTTTGCTAACAAAAAACGAATTTGAAACAGAAAATACGTCAAAAATTACATTTATGAAAATTGAGAAAGGTATAATGTGCCTTACCTCGAGTCGATCAACTTTCCCAACTAAGGTGACGAACGAAAACGGACCAAAGTAGCCCAAAATATGCTTTTTCTTCCTCTTTAATTCTCTTTCCTGCCCTTTCGCTTTCTTCAAAAATGACACTATTTGGATATTTATCAAACAAGATCGTCCAGGACGATGTCCCGATCGTCCCGGGATGATCTCCTCTGGACTAAAATCGTCTAGACAAAAATTAATTCCAATTTCTTTTGTTCCTGGACGATGCTCTCGGAAAAAATTTTGTCCCGACGAATTCAGGTTTGTACAGACGAACTTGTTATTTTTCTCAGTTCGTACATGTTCGTACAGATGAACCATACAGATTTTCAAAATTTCTTCAGTTCGTACAGGCAGTTATTACGTACTAACAACACAAAAATATTTTTTTTCTTTCAAAAAGAACTTGAAATTTGAGGGTTTCACAATCTACCCACTTTAAGAAAAATGTCATCCTCGACATTCCCAAAGCAAAAGTGAGTCAGAACAGACTGGGATACAGTTGTCTCATGTCTGATTCCTTCTCCCAAGTAGCCTCTCTGGCTGTTCTGAACTTCCACTGAACCTTAACCATAGGAAACTATTTACTTCTCAGCTTCTGCACATCATAAGCCAGAATTCTTTCAGGTTCTTCTTTATATTGTAGATTTGCCTGAACGTCAATATCATTAGCAGAAAGTTTCTTTTTAGAGTCAGATATCCACTTTCTCAAAGAGTATACATGAAACACATTGTGTATATCAGACATCTGATCAGGTAACAACAACCTGTAAGCAGAATTACCAACCCTTTCAATGACCTCAAAAGGTCTAACATACCTTGGACTGAGTTTGCTTACTCTTCCAAATCTGCTAACACCTTTCATAGGACTGAATTTTATATAATCAAAGTCACCAATCTTAAATTCAACCAGTCTATGTTTTTTATTTTAATACTTCTACTACCTGTCCTGTGCAGATTTCAACCTTCCTTTAATCAAATTGATCTTTGTCACAGTATCATCCACAGAAGTTGAACCCATTACTTGTCTATCTCCCACCTCAGTCAAAGTCAAAGAAGTTCTACACTTTCTGCCATACAGAGCTTCGTAGGATGCCATACCAATACTGGCTGATAATTGTTATTATACGCAAATTCTATCAGTGGGATATGATCTTCCCAACTGCCACAAAAATCCAAAACACATAATCTCAGAAGATCTTTCAGCACCTGAATAGTCCTCTCAGACTGTCCATCAGTCTGTGGATGAAAAGCCGTACTAAAATGCAACTTCGTACCCAATCCTTATTGAATACCTCTCCAAAGTCTGGAAGTAAACCATCCATCCTGATCAGATACAATCATTTTCGGTACACCGTGCAATCTGACAATTTCTTTAACATAAATCTGAGATAACTTATCCATCGGGTCCGTCTGTCTGATCAGAAGAAAATGTGTAGACTTCGTCAATTGATCGACAATCACCCAAATAGTATCATGTCCTTGCCTCGATATGGGAAAACCCATAGTAAAATCCATCGTCACCTCTTCCCACTTCCACTCAGGGATAGGCAACGACTGCAAAAGATCTCCTGGTCGCCGATGTTCTGCCTTCATTAACTAACAGGCTTCACATTTCGAAACAAATTCCACTATGTCCTTTTTCATTCCATGCCACCAAAATAAGCTTTTCATATCTTCATACATCTTACCACTTCCTGGATGAATGGTATAGCCCG